GAAATAAAATTAAATCGAATTAAATTAAATTAAACTACATTAAATAAAATAACACAATATTATAATATTAAAATTGTATTAACGAACTTATTTAAATTAAAACAAATGAACGAAATAAAATAATTTAAAGCAAAATAAATTAAAAATAAAATTAAGAATGAAAACAAAAACAAACAAAGTATTTTAATACAAAAAATATATAAAATAAAATAAATTAAAATAAAATAATACAACGTAAAATAAGTATAATAATATTTATAAAGTAATGTTAAATGAAAAAAAACAATCAAAAATAATAAATAAAAATTAAAATAATTTAAGCTTAAAAAAATTGTATTAAAAGAGTTTCGATTGAATTAAATAAAGCGAAAACAAAATAAATTTTAATGGAAAATATATCAAAAATAACAGCAAAACAATAGACTAAAATAAAAAAAGTTAGAGAAATTAAATTAAATAAAAAGTCAAATAAATGTGCACAAAATAAATTGTATGTAAAAAACTTATAAAAACATAACATAAAATTTACTAGAAAAACTTAAATAAACAGAAAAAAAACAAATTTATTGAAAATAAAATGAAAGAAAACACATTAAAAAAGATAAAATAATATCAAATAGGAAAGTTGCAAGTAAATACTTTCACAAGAAAAAATATTTAATTGCATACACTTCACCCTCTTTTTAAATACTCGCATTAAAAATAATTTATTTGACTTTGAAATATTGTATTTGCCCCCCAGCAAAGTCTATACTCAGCTGGTTGACAGTGACCTAGACCTTTGTACCTTTGCCAATCTTCAGCGGGTGAACTTAATTATCTAGTTATAGTCAGTACAAACATACGAACGTATATACTCACACATTTGATTTTCATTTTATGTCACATTTTCTACACGCGCAATTGAACCTTTCACTTTACTCGATACGAAAAAAAAACAACGGTCACACAGCCACACAAGCAAACATACGAGTACGTACAAGTGTTTGAGTGCCATTACTGTCATTTACCGGGTTTCACTTTACCACATTTTTATTAAGCACTGCCGCTAAATTACTACTAACAGCGCTACAATGGTGGAAAGTATGAGACAATAATGAAACTTGTAAAGCACAAGCGATAGATAACAGGTAGTTAGATTCGAAAAATTTCCATTAAAATTTATGTAGCGAATTGTCAACATATCGTACATATAAAAAGAGCTGTGAAAAATCATAACTGTAGTTATTTATGTCTATCTTTGTACATACGTGTATGTATGTATGGGCGTTGCAACTGATGCTGACAATTTAATAGTTTTAGCAAAATTATTTTCTTCCACTATATTGCTTTTTGGAGAAAATATTTTTAAAACAAAAAAGTATATTTTTAATTATGAGAAAAAAATTTGATAATTCGTGGTAACTAAACACATTAAATTTTCAGCGAAATCACGTGAGAAAATATTTATATAATTTCATATATTTTTTATGAAAATTTATTGATTTTTAATTTAATAATAATTTTTAATATATAATTTAAATTAATAATAGAGTTTAATATAATAATAATTATAATAATAATAATAATAATAATAATAATAATAATAATAATAATAATAATAATAATAATAATAATAATAATAATAAAAATAATAATAATAATAATAATAATAATAATAATAATAATAATAATAATAATAATAATAATAATAATAATAATAATAATAATAATAATAATAATAATACTAATAATAAAAATAATAATAAAACTCCATAATCTTTATTAAATTGGAAAAAATATTTTCAATAAACATATTAATTAATATTTTTTTAATTTTGAAAATTAAAATTTTTCCGAAAATTCTTAACAATATATTATATATACTTGCATATGTTTAACTGATTTTTTTTTTAAGTTTATTACATTTTTTTCCAGCGCTTCATATTGAAACCAAAACTATATTACCGCTCCAGTTACGTTTGGTTTTAAGTTCATTTATTTATAAAATTAAAAAAAAAAAAACTTTTAGTTGCCAATTATTTTGTCGCACTCAATTAGCTTAAGTGAAGCGCTTAGCAAGCTTTAAGGGGGCTTCGTAAACTACAAACACTAACATGCATGTCTTTGGTATATTTTTATGGTATATATGTATATATTTTTGTAGACACACACATGGATTTATGAATTTATATCCGTAGTCGTTTGTCTTGAATTTTTGTAATGGCGCCACAAATTACTTGTTACAAATGTGCTAAATTACTTGGAGTGCAACTAAAATGCCAAGCACTAAAAAATATGAACATACGTGTACGAATGTTTACCAACACCCACTTATCTACACACCAAATCAACAAGTAGAATATTATATATTATTTATATATATATATATATATATTAAAAGGCTATTTCTAACAAAAATAAACAAAATTGATTTTTTATTGAAATGCATCCATATATGTACAGATAAAAAAATATTTTGAGAAGCTCAAAATAAATTTCAAAAAGCTTAAAAAAAAACCTGTCTGTTCGTTGCACCTCGTTTGTTGGCATAACGTGCAACATGCATCATTTTGTTTCCACTGATATACGAGTACGAGTATGTCCGGGCAAACAGAGCAGAACAATGAGTTCGTCGCATTTTGTTGTGCGGGTGTGAAAAATGCATAAAAAAATTAAGAAAAAAAAACTTAAAAAAAATATAAAAAAATTAAATATAAAAATAGCATTTTATGACGGAATAAAAAATTTAATTTAAAAATAAATAAACCTTCAAAAATAAAATGAAGCTCAAAATATAAATAAAAGATAATATAATTAAAACAAATCATGGGGAAAAAATAAAATATATAAAAAATTAGAATATATACTAATTAAAAATAGTAAATTAAATTAAACGAAATAAGACAAAAATAAAAATATTTAATTAAACTGAAAAAATTCAATTATAATAAAAAAAATTAAAAAAATTAAAAAATTTAAAAATAGACAAAATAAAAAATAAACTAAAAGAACAATAAATTTAATAAAATAAAATTAATTAAAACAAAATTAACTAAAAATAAAATATAACATTTTATAACGAAATAAATCAAAAACTGAAATAAATAAAAAAAACAGACGAAATAAAACTAAACTACATTAAATATATTTAAAAAGCTTAAAATAACATAATGTTATCAAATAAATATACAACTAAATAAAATAATTAAAAATAAGTAATAAATATAAAATAAATAAATAAAAGCTACAAAAAATATAATTTATTTAAATATAATAAAATGAAAGCAAAAACACAAAAATAATATTACAATCGAAATCAAAGCAAAACAAAATTAAAATGAAACAAATTAAATATAATTAAAAAAGTTAAAAATAACTTAATTTGATCAAAAAAACAATAAAATAAAATAAAACAATACTAAAAGTAATATAATTAAATAAAATATAATAGTATAAAAAAATTAATTAAATGCATATATGTTATATATAAAATAAAATAGGTTAATATAAAAATTATATAATTATAAATTTAATATAAATAGAATAAAAAATACGTTTAACAAAATACAAAATATAATGTAAAAAAATAATTAACTAAAAATAAAAATAAAAATAAATAAATTGAAAACAATATAATCAAAAATATTAAATAATTTTAATTTAAAATTAAATTAACAAAATAAATTAGATAACAATTAAACTAAATAAACACAAATTAAACTCATATTTATCAAAATAAAAAAATGGATTTAAATAATTACAACAAAGCTGTAAAATACTAAAATTATTATTAAAAAATATATTTAAAATTTAATAATAATAAATATAAATAATACCATAATAATAATAATGATATATTAATAATACTATCAAAAAATAAATTGGCATAAAAGAAATAATATTATTAATAAGAAATTTAAAAAAAATATAATAATGCTATAATCAAGAGAATAATAAATAAAAGTAATTTAACAACACTGATAATAATAATAAGAATAAACTATTTATAATATTATTAGTAAGTAAAATAAAAATTTATATTACGTTAATTAATTTTATTAAATATCATTGAAAAGTAAATCTAATCATATAAAAACAATTAAAATTAATTAATTTAATTTAAAAAAATAAAATGAAAGTTTATTAGGGAAATAAAATTAAAGTAATTTAAGTGAGTATAAAAAAATAAAATTAAAAAAATTTAATAATAAAAAAATTATATATTGTAAAAATTTATTAAAACAACATAAATTAATTTTTACTGGACAAACTAAAAAAAAAAAGAATATTAATAAGAAATATAGCGAAACAAATAAAACAAAGCGAAATAAGATAATTAAAATTATAGTAAACAAAATAAAATCTAATAAAAGAAATAAAATAAAGTAAAATAACAAATGAAAATAGACAAATTTACTATAAATAAAATAAATATATTAGAAATAAATAAAATAATATGAAATATAGCAATATAAATAAATTAATATAAAGTAGCATAAAATAAAATTAAATAAAATTAATAAGAAATTAAAACAACGTTAAGAAATAATTTTATAAAGTAGTTAAGTAAACTAATATATTAAAAAAAAATAATATAATAATCAATTAAATAGTAAGTAATCATATAAAATAAATTAAAATATAAGTAAATGATATTAAATAAAATTAATAAAAACAAATAGAATAAAATAAACTAAATCAAAAACACATAAAATAAAACTAGTATAAAAAATCAAATAAATAAAAGTAAATTAAATAAAACTAACTTAAATTTAATATAATAAAAAATAAAAAACTAAATTATGTATACCAAAATTAATACAGTAAAATAAAATGGTTTAAAGTAACAGAAAATTTTTCATTTCATTAAATTAGTATTTAAAGTTTTATAAATCAAATTAAATTAATTAGAACAAAAAAAGCTGTTTCAAATATGAACTTTTTACTTTAATTTATTTATAAAGATATATTTTAATATTATTTTTAACATAAAATAATAATTTTTTATTTTCTTCCAGCAAACTCGCAATCCCGACTACTACGACATATCACCACGTCCCTTTGGCGCACCCAGTTCGACGGGTCTGAGTACTGCCGCCAGCGGCTTCACACGCTCCAAAGCGATACGTCCGATTAGTGGCGGTTTTGTGCCATCGCAACAATCACCGGTACGCACCAACGTGCCGCATCAGCAGACACAATTTCTGGCGCATTTCAATGAACCGGTGAGTAAAAATAAAAAATTAGTTAGAGAAATTAATTAAAAGGAATTAATTATAAAAATTTAATTATTAATTATATGAATTAATTATAAAAATTATTTTTAAGAAGTCATGCAGGGATTTTTCCTCGAATTTCAAAAAATTAAAGAATTTCCAAAAAAGAGACTCTGTTCATGAGCTTAGATAACTCATTGCTAGGAAATCTTTAAAGTCAGGCAGCGAGGTTATGGAAGAGTCGTTAGACTTACTAAAGCAGTTAAGTAATGTTAACCAAGTTCTTCTTTTTTACAGTTAGAGGTATAGATCAATGCTTAGTAAGCACATAGCTCGGCACTAGACATTTTGTTTAAGCGGCAGCTACAAGAACATATTTCCCTAAGAACCTTCTTTAGCTCCATCAGATCTACAAGGATCTGCAATCTCCTTCACATTTCGTACTAATTTTTGGGATGGATAAGACAGTACTTACTAATAATGGTACCCAAAATTGTATCGGTCACTAGGTGCTGTTATTAAGTCTTTCCACAACACAACCCTCTGATCGCTACTCGTTCGATATATTGACTGCAGGGCACTGTAATAAAAAAACTCTTAATTGCTAACTAATGAGCCCATTGATGACCTAAGAAAGTTACAAAGGGGATCTTTATAAACCAATAAATTAATAATGAAACCCATTCAAAGTAACCTTCATTAGACACTTTGCCAATTAAGCTTCATAAAGACACATGGAAACCACTTTTATTGGAATTTAAATACTTTTGTTAATAAAAACCACAATAATAATAAATTGTTGAAAAAGTTTTTTTGCCATAAATGTACATATGTATGTATAAATTTTGCAAATTTGTAGAGCAACTCTTTGTTACATTTCCAATAAATTAAGGCCAAACCCATTTTTGCAGCAGCACCACCACCACCAGAAGCCGATCGTACGCGGCAAATCAAAGCAAAGAAATACAAGAAATTAAGTGAACGGGAGGGTAATGTGTAGTGAGAGAGAGAGAGAGAGGGGGGCTGTAGAGTGCTTAGTCAGCGGAAAACACCAGCTCAGTAAAGCCCCAAAACAGGGCAAACGGATTGAGCAGGCGCACAGGCAGGCGCGCAGGCAGTCAGTCCATCAGGTACCGTAAAAGCGCAAATTTCATGGCTAAGCGAAATTAGTTGGTTAGCGCAATATGCACATACTCACACATACACAGCATAGAGACAGACAGATATTTTCACAAAACGACCAAATAGTGTCGTGACAAGGCACAACAACACACTTCAAATGAAACGAACAACAACAAAGTCATGCGCTCGTAGAATTGCATAATGTTGACGATGATAAAAGCAAAAAATAATAATAGTAAAATTAAAAGTCTAAGCGGACGCTGGTAGTGAGACGTATATACATATATATATATATTTTTTTTTTGTATATATGTATGTGTGTATATTTATTTTTATTTTAGTAGTTAAAGTGCTGCTCCACATTGATTACGCGAATCGACGGTATTTGGTAAATTGAACTGCATGCAGCTCAATGGCGCATAAATAAAAGTAATGCTATTTACATAAATATACATACATACATTCATACGTATGTATGTTATGTACATTACTAATGTTTATATCACACCCCAGTTGAAATTGAAACCTGTTATACCCCATATTCGCACCGAATTGGCGGCGTACAAAGTTACCAGGAGGCTGCATTTGAAGATTTTTAATTGGAGCAGGTTTTTCGTTTTGATAGTGATGGGGGAAAAAAATCGATGTAAATAAAATACGGGATCAAAACAGTCGCATGAAATAACAAAAATTTATGTTGAAAGTATTTTTTCACTAAAAATAGTAATAATAAATCTAGCTAACTTAGCTTGCTCAATACCGAGTTCTAGTAAGTCAAAATACATATATTTTTTATTATGAGCTCTCTTAAATGTCGGAAAACTTACAACAAATATTTTAGAATTTTTCGGCAAACATTGAACAGCAGAGAAACCAGTTTTTCAAGACACCATATTCACATGAAAAATTTTGGTATTACATAAACTGCAGCTCCCAAAACTTGATCCATCCAAAATGCATTCAAAAATTGGTATTGCAATGTTTTTAAAATGATTTTAGAACGATGAAAGTGCAATTATATATATATATATATATGTATATAATAATTGGCGCTTTGTAACCGCTGAAGCGATTTTTGGCCGAACGATAGAATTTGAGAAGATAAAAATCGATTACGCTCTAAAATCCGACATTTTTTCTGAATTCATGCTAAATGACTAAATAACATTTAATACCAATTGCGATAGTGCTAATAAACATAAATATATATGTTTGGAAGTATATTTTCCGAGAACCGATTTTGAAATCGATTTCGATATTTTTCCAAATTAGTAATAAATTTTTTAATTCCATAATAATTTAAAATATTTTACCCTGTCGTTGATAGCGATTTCGATTATTTCAACTAAAATGTTTCGATAACATATCGACAAATTACAAATAAATTGTCTAGATTTATGATAATAAAAAAAAATTAAATATAGATTTGATTACCTCATACGATTACGATTTCATTCTCGATGTTTTTCTTAATAATAATTTAAAAATATATCGGTCTGGCGTATTTATCGATTTCGATTATTTCAACTGGAAATTTTTAAAAATTTTATCAATAACATCACTGATATTTCCCGAAATTTACGATAAGTTAAAATATATTTTAGTCTTTCGTAAATATCGATTTCGATTACAAAAATTTATATGTTCCGATAATATATTGCCAAAAAATTTATTCTGATATTTATCGACACCGATATATTTTCAAATTAATACTTATTTTTCAAGATTTATGATAATTAAAAAACAAATTAAATATCGATTTTGATTACTTCATACGATTACGATTTCATTTTCGTTGTTTTTCTGAATACTAATTTAAAAATATATGGGTCTGGCGTATTTATCGATTTCGATTATTTCAACTGGTAATTTGTTAAAAATTATATCGATAACAGCACTGATATTTCTCAAAATTTATAATTAATTAAAAAATATTCTGGTCTATCGTAAATATCGATTTCGATTACAAAAATTTATATGTTCCGATAATATATTGCCTAAAAATTTCTTCTGATATATATCGACATCGATAAATTTTCAAATTACAACTAAATTTTCTAGTTTTGTTCTAATTTCAAAAAAAAAGAAAAATAAAAAAATTAAATGTCGATTTTGATTACTTCATTCGGTTTCGATCTCATTTTCGACGTTTTTCTGAACAACAATGTAAAAATATATGTGTCTTTCGATTCATCGATTACGATTATTTTAACCGGCACTGATATTCCTCGGAAGCTCCTCACTCAAAAGCCTCGATATCCTCTTTCTACTCAGGTTAAATTACTAGGCAATATCTTAGTAAGCAAACTCATTGGAACACGATAGAAAGTTGTTAGAAAGCTACGCCGAAATTTTATTCTAAAGATTCTGCGGCACTGTCTAATGATAAACCGTGGAAAAGACTACTTTTAGGGGCAAGCTGGAAAAGGTTCAGCAGACGGCCTCCACTCTCATTGCAAGAGCGTAGCTCTCAGCTCCTTCAAAAGCCCTTGAAATTCTGCTTAATCCTTACCGAGCAGGCTTTAAAGAGAAGCTTCGTACGAGCTGCAACGCTGTAAGACTAAATGCAACTCAATCATGGGGTAGTCGTGTAGGATACTCCCAAAGATTAAACTCCACACCATTCACCGCAAAAGTGGACTTTACTGTGTACGTTCGTCTTCTGCTCCTACAACACTTTCTCAGTAAAAATCCTTGAGAAGAAGGAATGGCAAAACGTAACAGTTCTGCATCAAGTAACCAAAGCTATTTTCACCCACGGCTCTAAGCAAGATGGCAAAGTGGGTAGTGGAGGAGCTTACTCTGAACCTCTTACTATCAAATTAAGAAAGGCTTTTCGATAACTTTCAGCGTCTTTCAAGCGGAACTGACCGCGATCACGAAGGTCGCTTCATGGTTGCGTGATTCTAATACGATAACCCAACTTGTGACAATAAATTCTGACAGCCAGGCTACCATTCAGTCTATCTAAAGCTATCACACCACCTTAAAAGTGGCAATAAAATGCAGAGAGGCACTAAAAAAACTATCGACTGTATGCGAAAAGTTCGTGGTTTGGGTCTCTGGTCATAAGGATATCCCAGAGAACTGCATGGCCGACGAACTGGCCAGAATGGGCACAGTTGAAACCATGGTAAATTCTGCATTTGACCTTGGCTTACTTCTTTCCTCGACAAAATATCTGTTTCACCATAAGGACCAACAACAAATCAGCGATTTTTGATCCGACGATTGGTTCTTCGCATACCATGAAGTTTATACTACTAGACCTCTTGATTCTTAGAATTTATGGATTTTTATTGTTTTAAAGATAATACCAAACCAGAAATCTAAATGCAAATATCTTTTATTCTTTTCAGAGCTCTTCCTCCGCCAATCGCCCATCGGCAAACAGTTTAACTGGTTCTTTCCAGCGTCCCTTCGGTAGTAGTGGTTTTGTACCCAGTTCAGTACGCACACGCCCTAGTGCTGCGAATTACAATAGCGATTCTTCTTCAAGCAATTCAAACCAGTCGCCACTGTCGCAGACGCCATTCAAAAATACACGAAATCGGTTCCAGCCAAGCAGTGCTAACACACCAGCTGCCTCACCCACCACCGAGCCAACAGCGTCGAGCACGAAACGTTATAATCGCTTCGGCGCAAATCGCGCACAAAACGCTTTAAAGGCACAACAGCCAGCTACGCCGTATAATACGCCCGAAGCGTCTTCGCAACGTCCCACATTCGGACGTGTCACAGGCAATAAGTCGAGTAGTTTTCAGCCGAGGCGTCCGGTTTTCATAAGTCGCGAGATCAACGAACCCGTGAGTGTGGGCAAAGTACAGCGACCGTTCGCTGCTGGGCGTGTTAAATTGCCTATTAAGGAGAGTCTCTTCAAGCAATCCACAACAGCTGCTGTGAAACCAACACCAGCTATAACGACGACCACCAGCGAGAGTGAGGAATATTACGAAGATGAGAGTGTTAATCCTGTGGAGGAGAGTGCGCCGAAAGAGACAAGTCTGGAAAAATTGGAGTTGCACGAAGCGGAGGAAACCACGGTCGCACCAGCTGATGAAACCACATCCTCCGCTGAGTATGAGGAGACAACAGCAATGCCATCAGAACAGCCAGAAGACAAGTCAAGTTCAACCGTCGAGCAAGCGAGCGCTGAAAAGGCAAACGATGGCTCAAGCCACGATGGGCTCGATGCCACAACAAGTCGCAGCTCAGAATATGAGTATGAATATACGGAAGAAGAGGAGTCCACCGAGGCCACAGTAAAGGAAACCAAACCGAATAGCACAACTGGCAACACAGTGACTGATGCGGCTATAAATTCAAGCTCTAACAAAGCTGAAGAATCAACTACCGAGCAAACGCAAACAAGCGCGAGTGACGAAGAAGTCGTAGAGTCGACTGCCGACACGCTCACACTAGCACCACACGATACCACAACTGCTATGCCCGCAAATCATAAGGTGACGGAGGAACATAAAACGGAAGACAACGAAGATATCAACTATGAGGGTAGCGCCGAATACGATGAAGACGAATACGAAGAAGAGGAGGAGGAGGACGAAGAATTCGAAGAGACGGAGGATGCAAGCCAAGAACCCTCAAGCGATACACAACAGAGCAGCTCACCGCAGAGTGATAAGGAGACTATTGATCGCGAAGTCATCTCTGTGGTTACCACAAAGAGCGTAGTGAATGGTTCAACTGCATTTCCAACGTCAGTTACAGAGCGCCCAACGACACTCTCCAGTGAAGAAGAAACCATATTCACTGAAAACAAAGTGCCGCCTGCCAAGATTGATGAAGAGAAAGCAACTGAGACCGAGGTGTTGGAAAAAGCTGCTGACAACTCTACAGCCAATGATGACGCCATGAGTAATACAACCGAGAGCTATGTGGTAATCGCTTCCATACAAACGAGTCGTAGTATAAACGGCGCACGCTTTTTGCCCTTCCCCGCCATCGAACAAGAAGAGACCAAGCAAACGCTATCCGAGTTGGAACGCAAGATACACGCGCAGAAAGAATCGACGAAGAAAAATGCTAAAGACAGCGACGCAGATGAACATTTAGAGAGTAGTGAAGAGGTGAAGGCGCCTATGACGGCGAAATCCAGCACAAGTGTCGCAATCTCCTCTACTGAAAGCATTATTGATAAATTGGATCGCGTGCAGTCAGAGCTCTCTAGTGGGCTACTTTCCGGAAAGTATCCAATCATTACGGAAATGGACGTCTCCACGAAGGCGACGACAACTACCTCAGGTTCGAGACTTGTACCAAACATACGTAAATTCCAACCAAAGACCACGGCCGCCTCCAAGGTGAAAGTTCATCACTTCGACGAGAGTGAAATGGATGAGTTAGCTGGTCTGTTGCCAGCTGGTTTCAAACCACGTCCGTCTTATAAGAATCGTAAGATTACAACAACCACTACTACGACACCCGCGCCGCCAGTAGCAGTGCCTGAGGTGAAGAAACCAATGCGTAACTCTACAATTAGCCGCTCTTTTAAGAATAACGCAGTCGCTGTGCAGGATGTGAGCCTCGCTGGCCTCTTACCTAAAGGTTACAAGCCACCTTCCACTACGGAGGCCACTACCAAGGCAGATATCACAGATCTCTTTAGTAAAATTAAATTCGACGATAATCTGGACAAGCTACTGCCGAGGGACTACAAAGAAAAGGCTACAACGACCGCCAAACCGGAGGTGACGCTGGTAGACGACATCTCTAAATTCCTGCCGCCGGGTTATAAATTACGCACAACCACCACGAAAAAGCCTGACACCGTCGTGCAAGACGATATCAGCAAACTACTGCCGCCCGGTTACAAACCACCCTCAAAATCGGCCGATGAATCCGATAAATTGGCTGGTGGTATTATACCACTGAAGGCCGACGATATTTCCAAATTCTTGCCACCTGGCTTTAAGCTCGATGAGTCAAGTAAGAAGGACACACTGCCAGCGCCAGAGAGTATTGATATCTCCCAGCTCTTGCCGAAAGACAACAAACCCACGGCAGCTATAGAAAAACCGGCGCAAAAGATCGAAGTAAAAACCGTTGAGAATGCCATGACAATGCACACAATTTCTTCAACGACAGAAGCCAGCACCGCGGACGATGACAGCTCTAGCACCACAGCCGCTTCAGGCTACAAAGTGGTCTTCCCGAAGGGCATACACAAGCGCCTTGGCGCACAACGTTTGACGACGCCACGCACCACCGGCGACAGCGTAACCGAGGTGGGTAACTCACCGGCTGTGATCATCAAGAAGGGGCCCCCTACGCGTGCAACTACCGAGTTCACCGGCTGGCCCACACCTTCCACCACTCCCATCTCAATCGAAAAGCTTTTGGAGCAGAGCAGAACAGTGAGCATCAACTTTGAGGATCTACTTTCGTCGAGCAGCACAAGTACTACAACGACAACAACCACAACCACGACGACCACCACCCCACGCCCCACAAAACCCGGTCACTGTACCGCGGACTGCGATCTGGCGGCAACAATAAAGATTGTAGACGGCGTCGCATGGAAGCCGGAACTGTTAGATCACAATACGGTCGAGTGGAAGAATCTAGCGCACGAGCTGGAGGCGGAGGTAAGCGAAAAGTACTGTTTAAGATCCACGAAACCAACCCTTATTTCTCTTGCAGCTGAACGAAGTCTACTCCAAGGCACCACAGCTGTCGCGTTGGTACAAAAAGGTGCGCATTGACAGCTTCAGCAAAGGCAGTGTTTTGGTCGATTACTACGTCGAACTAGCAAACATTACCGATGACGTAAATACTTTGGAGATCCGCAAACTTTTCCATGATGCTTTAACACATCCACCACCCGAGATGATTTTGCCTCACAAACCGGAGACGGAGAATGAGACTGACAACGAGGATGATGAGGCAGAACGCAACAGCAACGGCCAATATCGTGAAGGCAAGGAAGAGAAGCTAATCAAAGAGACATTCCTGATGGGCAAATACGTTATCGATCCCGCGGCAACGGACTTTAGTGGTAAGTACCATAATGATGTAAAAAACGGTCGAAGCTTCATTCCACTAACTCTTCTCTTCCCATTTAGTTATACCCAAATCACTCTCCCCAATGGTTGAGTTCGCCGAAGAAGATCTACTCATACCTCAATGGGCAATTGTAATAATAGTGATTGGCGTCGGTTCATTGATCTTCGTTGTCATATTCGGTGTAACTGTGGTGAGTATTTAGTGCGAGAGTTAACTTCGGCTCAGTTATTGACTCATTTCTCTTTCGTAGCTACTCAATCGTCAAAAACGTTCAAAGAAAGCACCCTTACCACTGTCGAACGATATGTTGAACGAACTGAAAATCAATCATATGGGCGGTGCGGATAATTATGGCGTCGATGATTTTTACAATATAGACGACGCTTGGAATGATACTAAACAACCGATTAAACCGAAGGTGAGTTGAAGTGCGGACTTCATTTTAAAGAATTTCGTAAAGCTCTACGAAATGACAAGGAACCACGGAAAACTTGCTAATGAGGGCAAGAAGATTCTGTTCATCACTGACGCAAGACAAATCGTTGGATTAACTATCCCTTTGGAAGCCAGAAATATTCTTCAGAGTTGATAGTTCATCTCAACAAGAATGCTTTTGCCTTCAAAGTCATCGCCGCTGTACGGCAAACTTCGTCCAACGCATAGGCAGACCGACGATTGCTAACGAGCTTAGTGGTAGTACTGAAGAGTCGTACGTTTCCATTACCAAGGACGCATCAAAGCGAGTTCCATATGATTTGAATCTCTGTATAGTTCTAGGGCATCGTAGACGACACAGTCCTTTATGCGTCCTGAACCAAGAAGGGATCACTGTTCTCTGCCACGAAGTAACGTAAACTCTCTCTCTCTGCCGCTTATAGTAGCCATCGGGTAAAGTTAAATGAAAACTTCGTTCGATGAGCTTTGATTTGCCAAAAACTAACCAAGAGTTCTCTAAAACAACTCAAAGCGAGTTCTAAGCGTTAACCTCACACGGATTTATATCTCCATGTGGTTCTAGTAGTCAAGTCGTGATGGAACCCGGAAGCCTTGTGTAGTTAGTCAGATTTTTCACATTGCTCGCCACGTGTTAGGAAAGTCATAGATCGCTTTCATAACCAACATCTGTATGAGCTTACGTACCTATTGTAGTCTCCAACTCTATACACTGTATAACATGTCGTTTGCTATGATCTGAGACTGAATCGGAGCTCCTACGGAATACAATTTTTTCAATGTTCCATTGTAGAGAGTACAATAACGGTCTCGTTTGAAGATTTGAGCTCGTATGTTGGACCTTTATCGATTTCTTGACTTTTCCTGTAGTCCGAGACTTAATTGGAGCTCCATAAACCTTAAACTCTTTACTACATTCCACTGGAGAAAATAAAGTCAGAGTCTTCTTCGAGAACTCAAATTCTTCTCCAGTACTTTTACGGTTTCCTCGACTTATTCTATCTGAGACGATGATCTATCAAATACTATTTGGTGGGCTAGGTTCAGTTAACTTAGTCCACCAAACGGACCCAATGTGATACCAGAGAAGATCCTATCCACTAGTCAAGTCAATGTGTGGAGCTTGCAAAGCTCGCTTGGCAGCTGGTCTCTCAGCGTGTTAAGCCAATAAAAGATATATATGCATTCTTTATAAAGCGAGCCTTCTTTTATCACACAACCTGGACAGAATGAGTTTGCAGAGCTCGCTTTGTGGCACACGTGGTCTCTCTGCGTGCTTACCCAAAATAAAATGCCCGGTAAGAAGCTCCTTGATTAGAGTCCGCCACCGACCCTGTTATCAAATCGAGTAATCGAATCAGCAAACGTAAAAAAAAAGAATCGGGTCTGGATTTCTTCTATCCATTGATTCCAATACACTATAACTCCAGTAAGCTCGTAATCTTTCGGGAAGATCTGTGAAGATTAAGCAGTAAGACGCCTTTTCCCGTAGACTGATCTTTTCGCTGAAGCGATTTTCGACCCTTTTGTGGTTTACGTCTTGTTGTTTTTCCAATAACTGAATGGGACCTAGATTTTATACTAAGCCGCCTCCGAACGGCTGACAGATTCTTATACATAAGAAGCATTTATTTCATGTCAGAAATACATTTGAAGGTCTTGACGTTCCCTGCCGAGGGGAGAGCGCAATTAGAAAAAATAATTTCGGAAGTTGGTTGTCCTTCCTAAGATCAGAACGCAATGATCAGTCAGCTTAGTTTAAGATGAGAGGTAAACTCTAGCTAGGCCCTGGACACCTGCCAGACAATGTAAAAGTTGAAGGCTTGTGATTAAATGTAATGAAATCGTCTACTATACTGAAGCCATCTTCGAAACACAGACGTGGACTGACTCTCCTATTTCGCTGCTTACGAGACGTTACTTCGAGCTACCAACACTCTGAACTATGATCGCTCACGACCCTAGGAACATAAGTTATAGGATGGCGATAACGACGACCCTCCAGAGCGTAGGCCAATTCTCTTCCTTCCTAACATTTCAATACGCTCCCTACAACTCTCCTACATTTGTCGCCATTAAAAAAATTCCTAATCCCATTTCTCTTCTCTCTTCCGCTACCAGCGTTTTACCAACTCCCTCCACGGCAGCAACGGCTCCAACATTTACGACAGTTGGCGTTCCACACGTCACGCCGGTGATTATTTCTACGACTCACAGACTAATTACTCACAAAAGGGTGATTCATTACAACGTAATGCACATAGCCAACATCCACATCAGCAGCAGCATCATCATCATCACCATCACCAACAACAGCAACAACCACACAGGGAACATCTTAGAGAGCAACAACAACAACAGCATACATTGTCACAACATCAGCATCCATATCATCAATATTCGGATGCTTTTGCGGATGCGCATCCAATGTATACCTACAACAACAATAGCAGTGGTAATAGTAATCATGCGAGTCGAGCGTCTCGCTATCAACGAGACTATGATCCAGACTTTTGAGTGATATTCTCGTAAGAAGCAGCGGTACGTAGGCGAAAGGTGGCTGACAAAGAGTGGAAAAAACAATACAAAATGAGAAAAAGGTGTGGGCGAGAATTATTAAAAAAAAAAAGAGTGGAGAAGAATTGAAGAGTAGGGAAAAGTGGAATTCGAAAAAAAAATATGTTAAAAACACGTATTTTTTTTATAATAAATGTGGTATAAATGAAGCAATTTTATTATAGAAAATATCAATGATTTGCACTAAAGCTAATTTCAGTACTAAAAAGTGAGGTTAGAATGAAAATGGGATTTTTTGATGCAATTCTAACAACTTTGCATAATCATTTTGTTGCTGTAATATTAAAGAAAATATATATACTAATTAATTATAAAAATACATACATATGTAAATATATGTATGTATATATGCTTTACATATATGTATGTAAATTAAGAAAATACTCAAATTAATCTAAAAAAATTGCAGAAATATGCGCTGAAAAGTGAATTTCTATATTTATCACAATTAAAAAAATAAAAATAATTGTTACACACACAATATTTATTTAAATAAAAAAACAAATGCACCTATTAAATGTTCATACTCACACGTTAAATTTTTTGCAATTAAAAAGTTAAATTTTCTGAAATTTTTTTTTTAAAAAGAGGACTCGAAAAAATTCTTGAAAAATTAAAAAAAAATTTGCAAAAACACAAAAACAACTTCTACGTGCCTATTCATTTTTTTTACTACACATATGTATTTTTGAAAATAAAAAATTAATTAAAAAAAGAAATTTTAAATATTTTAAAAAATTAAATAAAGAAGAAGAAAACGCTCCTTTTGTAATTTAGTGTTCCCGGCGTTTCGTAACATATATAAATATACATATTTAATTATTATAAACTCGTACTTAAATATGTATGTATGTAATGGCAACTAAATAAACTGCTTTGCAAAAGCGGTCGACTCGTGCTTAAATTATTTTTAAACAACGAGTTTGAAACTATAGTCACGATTAGTTTTAGAAATGGAGAAAAATAAAATTTTAGAAAATCATAAAATTTATTTACTCTTATTTTGTATGTATGTAATTTAGTTTTACATGAAAGAATATAATGAAAGAAATACATATAAAAATTGAAGGGTTTTATACGCAAAAACAAGTAAATAATATTATATATATATATATATATATATATGTATGTATAATTTAACTTATGTAATGTGTAATTTTAATAAATAAATATAACAAAAGTATATAAATAATTTTTTTTTTATTTATTTATAATTTTTAAAGGCAGCCTCTCGATGATGTCTCAGTTTATTTTTTTATCAGGTGTACAACTTTGCTTCCGCCGTTTCACGATATGTGGCTGTACCGGCTGAGGCTGGTTGAAATACATATGTAGATGATGATGCCTTTAAAGTGAGTGTGGACAGTGCCTAACAAATTGTCATCGCCGTTTCAGTGACCGTTGTTCTTGTTTCGAAAATGTCCGTTTATGTGCCTAATTCTCGCCATTTGCGGGTAGTTTTACTTTTCTGTTACAATTCGAAAAAAAAATGCAGCTGAAGCGCCTCGAATACTCTCAGAAACTTACGGTAATGCTGCTCTGAGTAAAAGAACGTGTCGGGAGTGGTTTCAACGAATATTCACCAAGGTTATGATTTGTATTTGGTGGGATCAGCTCGGTGAGATTTACTACGAGCTCTTAAAACCGGATGAAACCATCACAGGAGATCGCTATCGAACGCAACTGATGCGCCTTAGTCGCGCGCTAAAAGAAAAGCGGCCACAATATCAAGAGCGACATGACAAAGTCATCCTCCAACACGACAATGCTCGGCCTCACGTCGCAAAAGCGGTCAAAAAGGGACCTCGAAACGCTGAAATGGAAAGTCTTGCCCCACCCGCCGTATTTCCCAGATGTCGCTCCTTCTGACCTCCGCCTATTCCGTTCGATGGCACACGGCCTGGCAGATCAACATTTTCAATCCTTAGAAGAATTGGAAAAATGGATTGCTTCATGGATAGCGTCAAAAGAGGATTCCTTTTTTCGAGCCGGGATCCGAAAATTGCCGGTAAGATGAGATAAAGTTGTCGCTAGCGAAGGACAATACTTTGATACAACAACTTTATAAGGTAGTTTCACTTCAAAATTTTTGATACTAAACGTGTTTTCTCAAAAAGGGGCCTCTCATTCGAGATGTTTTTTTAATTTTCAGTGCATCTACAGGGTGCTGCATCTTTTATGTCGGTATGTAAACTCTGAATTCCTTTGAGAAAAAATAACCGACTTCCTTTTTTCTGCGTTTGCCAGAACATCTCGGGTGCTATAGCGTTGATTATTCGTGCTGAAATCTTGCCTGAGTTCATCAATAGTTTGAGGCTGATTTACGTAAGTCTTGCTCTTCAGATGACCCCACAAAAAGAAGTCCGGGGTAACAGTTGGACGCTGACGTTTGAATCAATATTTTTGTACTAGGTTTTAACAATTGTAATGCTTTGAGCGGTTGTTAGGCGAAATATTTTTATAAATTCCTGATTTGTAACTAATACGAAACATGTTTGGTTTGACAGTTTAGTTCGACAGATCTCAAAATGCAACAAAATACTGTTGAAACTACGAAATGGACGACCCCATACACCTTGCATCTTCACATTGTTATGAATGTTTCGATAATTTTAAGTGTCAAATGGATGCTAAAGTCAGGGTGCTTGGTGAGTTGGTTGAAAACTTGCACGTTTGCCTGTCTAGACGCTTACCAGTAACAGGATCAGCTAGAATATTTCAGTTCCTAAGTGATGTAAACTTGACTTATAAAGTCACTTGCAGCAATTCGCTACGGCATAACGAAACGGTCATCCCGTACCATCTCTAGCACAGGAGTGTTTTGCCCACGGAGTTCATTCCCGAACTATAGGGTTTTCCAATATAAGGTGTTATTTTGATATTCAATGAAAAATGGCTTTTTTTTAGATAAATGATCGAATGTTAATTTCAATGCTATGAGAAGATATGCCATTAATACTGGAAAACAATATCAACCAAGTCGCCGCCACGGCTACGCTTACAGAGCCGTATGAGTTGAGTTGAGTTGATGCAGCTGCACATTTAGGTCAATAGGCCCATTGTGATATCGCTGGGGCTCCGCCCCTTCACCTTCTCAGTTGACTGAACCATTTTTACAGCACCGTATCCTTTTTATGAACTTTTCCAACATCAAATCGCTAAGTGGCTGCTGTACACTCTCAATAGCTTCAACAGTTCCATCTTTGAGGTTTTGAATCGACATTGGCTTGTTGGTGCAGACTTTATCTATCACGTGGCTGCAAAGGAAGGAGTCGCAAAGTGTTAAATCGCAAGATCTCGGTGCGATTACCTCGAATCGAGAGAGATAACACGGTACGGAAATTTTTCACTTAAAAGATCGATGGTGTCGTTGCTTGAGTGGCATGTAGCGCCGTTCACTTTCAGAGTCAGACGACTCGATGAATAAATTCAAGGTTATAATTTATTAACGTGATACTTTTCGATTCTCAATCACTCCTCTCGCTTCTACACTCAAGAGTAGACCCTAGCCAAAAGGAGGAAAATGCTATGAAGAGGAATTCAAGCATTGGAATTTGAAGAAGCTGGTAACAAGCTGGGACAAAAAGCGAGGTATTGTAATTATAATTATTTTTTGGAATTTCCTGACCCTGACCTTTATTATATATCGATTCTTCTTTTAAAAACCGGGACATATGCAGCAAACAAATTCAAAGTTATCAACAGCTCCAAACAAAATGGTTGATTCTCAGACTTTGTTTAAGAGAACCGCGGCAACACTGGGTTGAAGTAGGATGACGTTGTTTACTCTCACAGCGGTTGTATAATTTTTATAAGAACTATTACCACTAGAGAGTTTGTAAGAAGTATTAATTCAGACCAATTTCAGTAAAAAAAAAGTTTTTTGAAACTTTATAATGAAATAATTTGTTTGAAAATAATTTTTTTTTTTATTTTAGTTATTATCATAATTTTCTTTGTTAGCAAAATTTGTCAAAAAAAACTACAAGCGGCTGACAATTTCAGAGACAAGTGTGGCAATACAGCTTGACAATTATTGTATTTCACCACAGCCCAAAGCGTTTTGTGTTAAGGGTGGCAATATGCCTACACTGCGTAATAATAAAACTGACATTTGGCAAGATTAAAATATCTGCCGAAATAGCTCAGTTGGGAGAGCGTTAGACTGAAGATCTAAAGGTCCCCGGTTCAATCCCGGGTTTCGGCAAACACGTCTTTTTTAATATTAATTTTTTATGATTTTTCCACAATAAAAATAAAAAAAAAAACATTTAAAAAAAAAAGTTAAAAAAAAAAATATAAATTAAAAATATAAAATGGAGCTTGCTGTAATATGTAAATATGTTTAAGTGGCGCATCTCATGAATACAACTGTACAATATTGTATTTTTATTACTAGCCATATTTATAACCTAAAAATATATATACTTATTAAAAATATTAAGTGAATATTTCAAAATTAAACAAAATAGACAAGAACTGCATGCGAGCAAAATATTTTTTTTTTTCGAATTCATTTAATTAATTAAGGCCTGAAATTAAAAAAAAACTAAATTTTATAAAAAAAATTTTGTATTGCCGAAACCCGGGATTGAACCGGGGACCTTTAGATCTTCAGTCTAACGCTCTCCCAACTGAGCTATTTCGGCAGCTGAAATAACGGTGGCAGATAGCGCTTTTGTTAACGTTAGCAGATCAAAGCAAATAACAAAGGGAGACCCTGCAGCACCACAAATGTTATATAACGCAGATATATATGTATATTTATAGACTGCGCCATTTTCGTGTATGTTCCAAGTTAATGGCAGGACAGCAAGAAATACAAAGTGGGATCTCATTTTAAAATTACGCCAAACTATAGTGCCTATCACAGAACTCTTAAAAACCTCCAAAATTGTAAACTCTTAAATTTATCCCAACTTTGAAATGTTCTTCAAAATTCAATCCACTGTAACGATTTTCGTTAATAACCCTTGATGATTGGCAAATCCACTACAAATTACTTTACTATACGCGACGACTTATGTATTTTACAACTTTCACATTCAATTATTTTCACTTTGTATCGCCAAAGAGTCGCCAACGAGTTCACTTTGTAACAGACTAGCGCTGTGTTGGCCACTCTCTTGTATACCTCACTAATTACTCGTACTCAACTCTGGAAATTTCATAACGATTTGCAGTTACCAATTACTTATCAACCCCTCTTTTTCTGTTTATTTTTTGCTACTATTTTTATTTAATTTAATCTACATTAGCGGTACTTTTCTCTGTTTTAACTGACATTTCTGAATATTGCTTTAAATTCTGAATATAACTCTAAAAATGCCAAAAAATTAAAAACTTCTTAGTTTTGTTCGGTGGATAAGAGATATTTAGTAACGAAAAATTGCGTTCTCTTGAAGAAAATAAAACTCAACCTCACCGAACGCGGCCCAGCAAAAAATTGGTAATAATTCTTACTGCCCATTAGCTCATCGAAGAGGATATTATAGGCTTGCTTCATGTTAGATTTTTTTTAGAAATTGAGTAAATGTAAAATAAACAAAAAACAATGGGTTGAACTGTAAACTCAAGTTAAATACAACTCGGTACAAATTTATACAAATAAATTAAAAATAGGGATGGAATCGGTCAAAAGTGTAAGGCGTTTGAAACAGAGATTTTCTCTCTTCCTCTACCAATTTTTACTGTCTGTATTTTTGTAAAAATAACTAACATATGTAAACTGAAGATTTTCTCCTCATTGAAACCAGTCATTTTATTTAAATTATCAAAACCTTGCTCTGATTCACGAAAAAATTTACATGAAAAAGCAAAAGTGAATAATTCAAAAATTTTCAGTTATTTTATAACACATCACCACATTATTGACTGAGGAATCGACAGAGTGGCATAGCTCATAATACGAGTTTAAAATTCCATCTTCAATTTAACCTATTATAAGGGTCATTAAGAATTCTTAAGGGGTGAGATGTAGTTTTTTTTGGGGATTTTCTTAAGGTATGATATCATACAAATAATTTTCAAAATTTTGAGGTAAATCCTGCAAATGTTTCTTGCGTTAATTGTACAATAAGCGAAGAGCGCTCGGCCGTTTTAAAATGCTCGTATGCAACTTTAAATGTGCTTTTCTCCAAGCCATGTTTTTTTAACTAGTGCCGTGCGCACGCAGAAATCACTCAATAGATTTTATTACAATTTATTTAGATTTTGAAAAACATAAAAGAGATTCCTTTGGAATATTAAACATTTTTTCGCCCAATTGATTCTAGATGAATCATCAATGATTTGTAATTCCAAAATTAAAATTAATCTTTTGAAATTACTATGATTGATAGTTTTATCGAGATAACATTAACTAACGGCAATGTAAACTTACCTTAAACGCATTTTTCTCACAAAATACAGCCCTGGATATATAGTGAGCTTTTGTCATTGTAATATCATCAGCCGAAATAGCTCAGTTGGGAGAGCGTTAGACTGAAGATCTAAAGGTCCCCGGTTCAATCCCGGGTTTCGGCAACCGAATTTTTTTTAAGATTTTCGTTTAGCGGTTAATTTGCTTACATTAAATTTTTTTTATTTTTGAAATTATAATTTTTTTAACTTATGAACTTTTTAATTTTTTTTTTGGTTTTTAAATGCGTTTAGAATTAATATTTTTTATGAACTTTTAATTCTTTTGAGTTCTTAATAAACTTTTAGCTATTTAACTTTTTTTAATTTTTAAAACCTTTTTTGAATTTTTTTTTAAATTATTTTTTAATTAATTATATTTTTTAAATTACATTTAGTTTAATTTTTATTTTTTATTTTTAAACGATTTTTTTATTTTTAAAAATGGCTTAAGATATTATGATGGTTTTATTTTCCAATATATAATTTTATTTAACTTTTAAATGGCATTTTTCAGTTATTAATTTATTTTTTTTTTTAGTTTTATTTAAATATTTTTATTTGAAAACTTTCAATATCTTTTTTGGAATTATTAATTATATTTAAAAATTTTAAAAGCTATTTTTTATATTTTTAAAAGTGTTTTCTAATTTTTTTGTTTTTGTTTTCTAATTTATATTGTTTCTAGTTTCTAATTGATTTTTTTTACTTTTACATGGTTTTTTTTATTTTGACATTTTTTAAATATTAAATATTTTTTCTTTAAGTTTTAAGGTTTTTTTAAATAAATTTTAAATTAATTCATTTCTTTTAGTATTCAAAAGTTTTGTTTTCAATTTTTTTTCTTTGCCTTTAAATGTTCTTTTAATTTTTAAAAAGTTTTATTTGATTTCTAAATGTTTTTTTAAATTTTGAAATGCTTTTTTTAACTTTTAAATTTTTTTTTTAATTTGTAAACGTTTTCTTTAGTTTTTAAGTTCTGTTTTTAATTTTAAATTTATATTTTAGTTTAAAAGTTTACATTTTTTTTTAATTTATATATTTTTTTTTACCATTCCTCAAAGTGCTTGCTTTACGACGAATAAAACGTCTTTCTTCTTCGTTTGGAATTAAAATTTTCTGGACATTTATTTCGTGGTTATAATTATTTACGCATATAAAATTTGTATGTATAAAAAATGCGGTTTTTTTTTTTGCATAAAAACCTTGTTATTAGTGGTTTTTACATTTAAGTTTAATATTTCAATTCATTCATATGCTCAAGCTAATAAATTAATCCAGTTGTGCTTTAAAAAACGATACTCAAAAACAAATAAAATTAAAATGCTCATTTTTCCACCAGCCTTTCCACCATGAAGTGAGTGTCCACAAAACTAAAAATATGAATAAAAATTTTCTAATGATTTGTTTGAATAAAAATGCTTAAATTAATTGGGAAAATATTTCAAGTTAAGTAAATGAAAAGTTGTTTGTTGTTATTTACATACATTGTTTCGTTTTAAACATATCTTTGTTAATTTTACACAATTTTTATATTTAATTTTAGCTTCGCTGTATTTTTGTACAGGAAATTTTAGTATAAGAAATAAAATTAAATAAATAAAAATTATAAAATAGAATTATGTAAATAAAATAAAATTACAGTTAAAAAAAATTATAGTTAAAAAATACACACTTAAACAAATACAGCAGTTATGGTATCTATTATATCTTGCCTAGTTTTCTTTTCTCTTTCAAATTTCGAAACAAAGCCTAATTTTTAGTACAAAAATATAAGCATATATGTATATGTGTATGTCTGTATTTCATTAAGTCTTACAATAATTGCATGCATTACGTTTATTTCATAAAAATATATAAGTATGTATGTTTGTATGCATAAATTAAAAAAAAAACCTATGACTCTTCCCCCTCTCAGTCACTTGCCGCACTATCGAATACCGCTACTTATAGTATTTATAGTATACAATTCGAGTTAAGTTGAAATGGCGCGAGGTCCTTGGTTATCGCCAGTGGTGCACCATCGTTTGCTATCTTATACGCCAACGCTGCCAAATTGCGTGCATCATCGATACCCGAATGTTCGCGTCCTTTGAATGTGAGGCCGACATGCGATATGGCATCGGCAAAGTTAATCGGCCTATATTTGTACCATTCACGGAAGATAGCACGTAAATCGATCCACTGGTTAAAATATGTCGGTTTCTTTAGCCTCTTACGCTGACATTCCTTGGCCAAACAAACGCCAAAATCCCAATCTGTCCAGGTGACAAAGGCGCATGTACCAATTGGTTTGTCTTTGGACATTTTTGGCAGTTGTAAATTACGCGTTCGCAACTCTTTGCGTAGCCATTCTTGAAACATCATTATGGCTGTCTGGAGTGGCATGCCATCGTCGACACTTTTTTGCTTGATGCCTGTGAGTTCAGTGCAGAAAGCGCTCAATTTAGGTGATTCAATTGGCATGACAAACTTTTGGAATTCCGCTTCAACCTTTCCAGTTTGCATATTAACCAGCACAGCGGGGAATTCTGTAAGACGCAAAATTAAAGTTTACTATGTAGCATAATACAATTACATATGTAATGGTTAGCTTATTACCTATAATTTCCGGCTCCCGCCAATTGGGTGGCGCATGATTCTCCCAACAAGTCGCTTCAAAATCGACACATATTAGATATTTATATGGCTGCATTGTTAGTTGTGGCTTGCGTAGCCTATTTAAGTAGCTGGATGTATTGCTTTTATCAGCAGCGGATTCACCATCAACGTATATGGTTTCAAGTAGACCTAATTGTCTGCACAAAGTATGAAAGTTGGTGAAAAAATATATATAATTTAATAGAAAATATTAGACAAAATTTTTGATTAAAATCAATGCATAATACAAATAGCACATACACACCAACACATATAGGGCACATTCCCATACACACAAATGAATTCAAACTAAAAACAACACTTCAGCATACATTTTTCTACTTTTTGCCATAGCACACCACCATCGGCTTTTGACGCAACACAAAACCATTTGTTTCCGCTAACGCTTTAGCCACCACCGCCTCCAAATCCACTTCACTCAGCCCATTAAATGTTACAAATGCTTGGCCTTTCATACGTCCTTGTTGCATAACTTTCACTTCTAATTTATCAATTTCTATAAATCTTGCATAAAGCGTTTTGAGATCTTCTTCACATACATCTTTGGCTAGATTTTTAATATATAATTTATTGCTTGGCGCACCAATTTGATAATTCTTGTATATGGGTAGCGCTAGCAACTGCTCAGCGGTTAAACGTTCCTCACTTAGCTCAGTTGGTGGCGTGAATGGCTCTAACGTGGTTTGCTCCTTTAGTGGTTGTAGTTTCACAGCAATCTTACTTGATTTACCAACAGTTTCTGGTGATTCGAACACATTTTTGAGCGTGTTAGTAGTACTACTTCCTGTAGTGTCTTCTCGCATAAGCACCTTTTTCTGTTGCATTGTTGCTTGCAAAAGTTGACGTGCTTTTTTCTTATATTGCGTTTCAAGTTCATCCATAGCTTTACGCTTGATTTGTATTGTAGTTTTCTCTTTCAGTTTATTCACTTTACTAACATCCTCATCTGAAGATTCCAGCTCCGATTCGGACTTTTCTGTTGGCACAATAACTTCTTTTACATCTTCACTTTTTGCCACAACTACAATCTCTTCTGTAGTTTGTGTAGCCACATTACGTGGCCAACCACACGTTAAACGCACACCTTTCGGCTTAGCAGCAAAAGGTGGCTCCAAATTCATACGATTCATCAGATGCAACACTTGGGTATAGAAGCGTGTATTACTCATTAGTGCAATGCTTATGGCATCCAAAATGTCGGGTGTGATGCGTGGATATGCATATTTGAGATATGGCGGTGGCGGTTGTTCGAAATTCAACTTAGATTCACATGCATATAACTTAGATACATATTTGCTGATCTCTGGTAGCACGGTAGCGTCACTTGTTTGGAGTTTGGTTTGTGTCGACCTACTGGTGGTAGTTGCTTTGGCAGGTATTTTCGCTTTTACGTTGGACTTCGCCATCTTGCGAAATATTATTGCATTTAGACGTTTGCCAGGCGCCACTTCTATTTGTTGCAGCTGCTCCAAGACATTTTGCGCGGTTACCTCATTTGCGTAGCTGATTAGCATGCGTTGTCGGCCAAATGGTTTTACTTCTAGTGGTTTTGTTGGTAAAATACTTGCTATATCGTTAACGGATTTTGGTAAATTTTTTATTAAAAGCGTATTAGCGGAATTATACATAGTTTCTGTTATCTTTATAACTAATTTTGTAGAAGAAAAAATTGGCAATAAATTGAACAGATGGCAAATAAGCAAACAGCTGTGCGACAGGGTTGCTGTGGACATGAGTTTAGTGTTGAGTGTGAGAAGTGTAGTAATAGTAGAGAAGAGAGATATGGGAGAAGTGCGCTTGTAGTGAAGAGAGTACACCGTAAGAGAAACACTTGAATTCGAAAGATTAACGTTGGACATCGTAATTTGTTTAACTAAAATAAAATAAATTAAATTCAATAGTAGATAATAAATAATATGAAATTAGGCAAATCAAAAATATATTGATAATGATAAAAAATAGAATAAAATAAAAATAAAAAAATTTAAGCAAATTAATATAGAATATATTAGAAAAAATAGAGTAAAAATAGATAAAATAAACAAAATAAAATATGTAATTAACTGAAATAAATAAATTGAAAGTGAAACGAATTAAAATAAGTTAAAAAAAAATATAATAACAAAATAAAATAATATAAAATATAATAACTTCCAGAGGCGCAATTAAAGAAAATTATTTCAAACGCATTAATTACACATTTCTTGAATTTCATCATCGCTATAAAAATGGGAATCAGTTATAAAATTAGCATCCACGAGTACTTTTTTTTTGCAAATTAGCAGCTTGTCTGCATATCTTCGCTGAATTGCCAAAACGCACAAAGGATTGCGGCAAAAAAGTGTTAATTGATAAGCTGAAGCTTCAATGAAGTACATAAAATAAAGCTTAATAAAAGTTATAAAGTTGAACGGAAAGTAGGATGGTGAATAATTCAAAGAATTTCATGAAGCGAGAATTAAAAAATTAAAAAATTGAAATTATTTAAAATAAAAACTGAATCAAGAAAAGAAAGAAATATTTAGCAGTAAATATAATTTATTTTAATTAATTTTATTATTTTTTTATTTTCATTTTTTTCATTAAATCTCTTTATTTGTATTTTATTTCCGTCAAAGCTTTATCTAAAGTCTTTTTTGTCTTATTTTTTATTGCTTTATCTTTATTAATTAGACTATATGATAACGTATTTACAATTATAACATATCTTCTATGTTTAAAGTGCGTAATATTTGTTTTTTGTAGTTAAGAGATAAAAATCGTAAACATTTTATTATTTATTATATACTAAGTGCACTTAGCATCCTTATCAAAGTGACAATATAGAAAGGAGGTCTCAAGAATCTTACAATATGTACAGTTATCTTCACAAGGCAACAGCGGGAGGTCGGCCCTACCAGTGATGGAAACGTTGGCTGAATAACAACAGAAATGTATCAAAGTTGTTAATTTATGCCAAAAAAAAAAAAAAAAATATGGAAATATACTTTGTAAGCACGCGAAATATTTAAGCAATAAATTTTATTGTTCAAATCAAAAATTCAAATCTATACAAAATTATAGAGTGCGGCGTAGAATTAAATTCAGACAAAAGCAAAGCGCGTGGAAAACTTACTTTTAAGCCGGTTAAAAAGACGATGGAATTTGTTTAATATTCACACACATGGAAGCATAAATAAAGCATAAATAAAGCATTACAGTGAATAAAATAAAATTAAAAAATTATAAACAAAATAAAAATAAAACTAAATTAAATAAATAAAATGAAAAATGAATGTAAATTAAAAAAAACTGAACTAAATTATATTAATTTGAATAATATAAAATAAAACACAGCACATTACAATATAAAAATTAAAAAAAAAATAAAAAATGAAAAAAATTAAACGAGAAATTAAAAAAAATAGAATAAAATAATATAAAACAAAAGTTAAAATATCAAACAAAGCAAAAAAAAAATTAATCGAAATAAAAAATAAAAATAAGACGATAACACAAAAAAACAAAATTAAATAAAATAAAATAAAATAAAATAAAATAAAATAAAATAAAATAAAAAAAATAAAAAAAAATAAAATAAAATAAAATAAAATAAAATAAAATAAAATAAAATAAAATAAAATAAAATAAAATAAAATAAAATAAAATAAAATAAAATAAAATAAAATAAAGTGAAATACAATGAAATTAAATAAAACAAAATGAAATATAAAAAAAAAATTAAATAAATAAACTAAAAAAAAGAGAAAAGGGGTAAATTATCAAAAAAAAAGAAATCAAATAAATAAAATCAAGCAAAAATTAATTAAAATTAAATTATTCAAAGAAAAAAAATTAAATTATATATAAATATAAATAAAATAAATTAAAATATAACAATAAAAAAGAGAAATAAATAAAGTAAAATAAATTAAAATTAAATGTGTAAAAATAAAGTAAAACGAAATAAAGTATAATGATAAATAATAATATAAAAAAAATTAAAATTGAAACAAAATGAAATGAAATAAAATAATATAAGCGAAAATAATATAAAAACGAAATGAAATAAAATAATACAAAACAAATGAAAAAAAATAAATAATAAATAAAATTAAAAAAAAATTATTGAAAAAGTTATTGTTAACTTTAATACAAATAAAATAAAGAAAATTTTGATCCATAAAATTTAAATAAAAAAAAAAACGAAATAAAATAAATTAATAATAAAATAAAATGAAGTAAAATAAAAAATAATATAAAATAATTGAAAAAAGTTAATGTAAACTACAATACATATTAAATAAAAAAGGAAATTAATTTTAAATTAAATTGAATACAATAAAATAAAGTAAAATAATATGAAAACGCAATAAAAAGTAAAGTAAAATTAATTAAGTAATAAAAAAAAAAAATGAAATAAATATATAGAATAGAATAAAACCCTTTTTCTGCAAAGTAATATGTTTCTTTTGCTTCTTATCAGTCCCTCTGAGAGGAAAAGTTTCATCTAACTACAAAACCTTCGTATATTCTTCAAAAAACTAAAAAAATTAGCTTAAAACGCGTAGCTTATTTGAAAAATTACCGCTAATTACATGATTTACATTAATTAAAATTTATTCATTTGGAAATATGGCCATTCATAAAAACGAATTAAATCTCGCTGAATATATTTCACCGTTTTAATAATAATAATAATAATAATTTCTATTATATTATAAAATAAACTTCACTTATAAATTGGCTAACTTTGATAGTGACGCTTGTACGAAGGTCAAATTAGCAAGCTCGACACACCTACTTAACATACACACACACACATACACACACACACATGCAAACGTATGAACGCACACGATAACTGCCGTCAAACATACATATTATACATATGCACATGTACGAGACATAAATCCAGCAACTATTTTATGACAATCGAAGATTTTACATACATAAATTTCAGCCGCTACCCGACACTGCACCACACCACCGCGCCGCAGTGTTACCGACAAGTCGAATATTGAAATCTTGTAATTGAAATCTTAATTCAGAATCTATGCATAGCTGCGTACGTCACTGCTATACGTAAACGAGCCGCTGGAATCTGAAATTCTGGTCAAGTACAACAACGCGTTCGCCAAAGTGAACGGCGCGTCCG